GCCAGTTCGCTGTTGGTGGGAGTCGTGAACAGTTCCTCTTTCTTTGCACTGCCGACTGTTGCCGGGTGGCCAGTCAGCGCAGTTCCAGTTATATTCAGGAGGGGGGCTTCATCTGGAGGAAATTTTTAAGAACCAGTAAAAATCTAGGATGCAAATTATGTGTCACAGAATTAAGCTAATTTATATGCATGGTGGTTACTACATATAAATATATTGCAAGAATATAACAATACATATTAGTATTACTTTTTATACCATGAACTCTGTGACTCATATAACTAAAAGCTGATATCAATCTTTATATCAAAAAAGAGAAGGATGGAACAATATGAAAAAAGGCAATGAAAATAAAAGAAAGAAAGGAAAAGAAATCTCACCCATAAGCTTCAGATACTCTACGCTGTACGGCTGGACCTTCGGCACGACTGAGAGCCTCCTTGCGGACAAGAGGTCATCCTCCATGGTGGTGTCAGTGTGAGGTGAGGTTGGCGACACGGCTGGTGCCTATTCGTTTAGGAAAATTATTAGCTTCAACATCATTAACATCTCAGCAGTCACCCTGAATGTATAAAGATAGAAAGAAAAACAGGAAAAGAGAAAAGAAAAGAAAAGAAAAGAAGATTGAAAGTCTTACCAGTGTTGGATAAGCAGGATATATGACACAAACTAGACTTCACAGAAACAGGGTGAACTTGAGAAAACTGAGATAAAATATGGACAGCATATTCCCAATTTGTTTGAATATCTACAACATTTCAATGACTACTTTAGATTTTAAAGGTTTACCAGATATATCTCATTCTTTCATTTTTAATCATATATATCATTCAAGTGCAGAAACAAAGTCCTGAGCTTATAATACTAATCAATGTTACCAATGAAACAATTGTGTTTGAATGCAATAACTAATGTACTATTACTTACCTCCAACCAGGTATTACAAAAAGGGTGCATCATGCATTTACAAACTCAATTGTGAATATAAAATAATCTCTTTAAATATTGGCTAAAAAGTATATAAAAAAAAAAAAATCTAATTCACTTCTGCAATTTTTAATTACAATTTGAAATGATAAAAATGAATAAGAGAGCATAAAATAGAAAAAAGAAAAGAAAGAAAAGAAAAGAAAAAGAAAGAAAGAAAGAATGCATTCTTCCATCCTGCTGGTCTTCTATGATGAAAACATTAGTTTATCTAGAAAGACAACAAAAGGAACGAAGATTTTGAAGCCAAATATATTGACTGAAAATATACTAACTGTTCAAATTTGAAAAAAGGCTGTGTATATATGTTCAGTGGCAATAAAAATGACAACAAAGAAGATCAAAACAATTACAATAATAAGCAATAATAGTAGTAGTAGTAGTAATAATAATAATAATAATAATAATAATAATAATAATAATAATAATAACAATAATAATAATAACGACACTAAGAAAACAATATCCATACTAAAGCACAATCCAAACTAAAATTTCCTTATAATGCTAATGAATATAAAAGGGAGATCAACCATTCACACACACAGTCGCATACATTCCCACGCACACGCAAACAAGAAGGAACAAAGAATGGAGCAACAGCCTCCACCTACATGTCTCCAGAGCAGTTTGTGTATGACAGCATCAGAAGCATGCCCGTAGATGCTCCTTCCGCGTTCCTTCAGTACCTCGCCACCCACCTTGATGGAGTGTAGGGGGTGGTGGAGGGAAGGGAGACATAGGATGGTGCAAGAAAGGAGGAAGAGGGGGAGGGTGGGGGATTCAGAATTTTCTGTTTAGATTCTGGTAAACTCTTGGTATTTTTTTCTTTTTTTTTTAATAGGGGTTCTGGTTAGTTCTTTTCTATTCATTAATTATTTATCTATCTATTTATCTTTCCCTTTTGCTCATTTCCAATTAGTTAGTTGCATGACATAAAGTGTAGTGACATCCAGTGCAGTGATAACTGACATCTCAAAATGAGCTTGTATCTTTGCATGCACACAATAAGCAGCCTCGATACATCTGCTTTTTGTCTTCCAAGAGCTGAGAGAAGCTATGCCCAACTAGCAATAGCACAGTGCTAATACCTGTTTTGCAAGTTAAACAACTGTACAGGATATGGGACTGGAAATAGTGAGCATGCTGTGACAGATGCAACATCTCAGGCACCCCAAGACACGTGGTCAAAGCCTTGCGCTCATGTGTAAGAGAGAGCACCAGAATACCACTCAAACCTTGTGCAGTGATTAGTGATAGTACCATTTTTTCTATAAAGCATTCATCCTTCTAACCGTAGAGATGCACAGAGCAATACAATGTCAATTCTTATATACCTTGATTAAGTGTTCCATCACAAAACTTACTTATGTAACCTAGGCACTTCCTTGTTCCACTATGATTCAGACCATAATATCCTAAAGATCCTAATCCTCCTAACAAGCAATGCTACTTGAAAATTCACACTCTAACAGTGAACAAATACCAAAGCACAAAACTGACAAGAAGTACAGTGTTGTAAAATGAATCACCATAAGAGTGCATGGCAATATACCCTTCTGAATTATACAAGTCATCCTCGTTCTCTAAAATCCACCTTGGAAAGCACAATTTCCTTTCAGCTCCAAGCAAATAAACAGCATTACACAGCAAATAAAAACAACAGCTATGCTTTGTGAGGCACAAATCTCAAATCTGGATCCAAGCATCATTATTTTTTTATGCTTTTATTTCACCCTCACAAGATGCCTGTCTTTTCAAAATTTCCATAACAATACAAACATCTTCCTGTATGTTCATTAGTATATATCTTTTATCCAACTGAAATATTTTATGCCTGTTTATAGTACCAATGTGCTTTCATCACACACTATCAAACACTGGTCACCACAAATGTGTAAATCAAGAATATATTTATTAGTGTATCTTGTACTTTGTGAACACAGTGCCTTCTAGTGTGTAATCAGCATACTTATGATGCCTGGATATCAAGGAATTCATTCATGGGCCATATAAATGGAGAAGCAACAAAGCATTTGACCTTTCTTATGCAAATGGTACAAAAATTGCAAGGAGTTCCCAAGTCTTTAGTTAGCATTTAGAGAAAAATAATTATCTAATATTTTAACATCTTGTTGAGCCTTTTTTTCTGATCTGTTCATTTGCTAACCAAGCAATTATGATTAGAATGGTAATTCTTTATAGTTTACTATAACAAAAAGACAAAATCAACTATTATTACAATATTCACAAATATCATATAACCCTAAATATATAAATTGTAAATTTGATTATTATTTCCAATTAAAGTCTTCAATCAGTTTATAAAATCTGTAGCAGTCTATAAAAAATATAGTTTTTACATTTCCACACATCTATATCTATAAAAATAAGCCCTATTCAAGAGATATAAAAGATGAGAACTATAAGAAGAGCAACTGTTGAAAAAGCTAAAACGAGCTTTGAAAGGTAAAATCTAAAGAAAACTATGGCTGTATTTTCAGATCCAAAATTCCATATTGAAATGATGTGTATTTTGAAATCATTTGGCATTGCAATGCACATGTTACATGAAATGACATACAATATTTCCGTGCCAAAGAAAATATATTTCCATACTTGAACAATTATGGTACTGACAATTTCTATTGATCTAAATGCCCTGTGAGGTGTTACTTCCTTCTTTCTCTTTAACTAGAGAAAATGTACATGGTAAGATATTGAATCTAATATGTCTTTAAAAAGTAAATTAAAGTTACTGTAATAATCAGTTTCCATAGAATAATGTTTCAGACAAAATTATTTACTCTTTTTAAACTATATATTTTTTGCAAAAATTTCCTCCAGAACAAACTTTGCCATAATCATTAAGCTTTACTTCAGGATAACAGAAATCAGTAATATGATCTTTTCACTTCCAGATTAATTTTGAGTGTCAGAAATGGAACATTCTATATTACCAAACAAAAATTCAAGTCATGGATTTACCTTAGTTTTGTAGCACAGTGAAATTACACTTAGAACACTGGAACCTTGCTACAAAAAATAATCAAATCCATGACTGTATTTTCTTGGTGGTTACATCTGATATAGAATGTCGTAAACACCCTAAAATGTAACATGTCCATATGCAATGTTCTGACAACATGGTTTATAAAATACAATCATCTATCCCTAGGGGAAGAAGCCATCAAAACAGAAGAAATTCCAAAAACATACCTGATCTATTAGGACTGGCCTTTCTTCATCAGGTGTAGTGAAGGCAGTTGACCCAGAGGTCTGTCTGTCATAGGATAAGCAGGATTTGTAACTAGCTGTGCTGGCTCCTGAAACCTGCCGCTCGTAGGCTATTGCTGCTCTCGAATTTCTGCTTGTGCTTTCTCTGCCGATTCCATATTCTGACTCCTGGACACGCTTCTTGTTTTCCATTGCTGCAGACGATGTTACAGCTTTAGATTTTAAGAGATTCATTGTGTTCCTGTTTGTGGTGCTGGACTGAAATTCCTCACTAAGAACTTTACGTTTGATGGCCGCTGCCTCTGCACACGTTTCCCGATATCTAGCAAATGCTTCATTGAGATTAGGAACATTGCCATTGCTTTCATCTTCACTTCCCATAATGGTTTTCTCCTGCGGTGTACATTCCTGACCCGAGTCAACAGTAGACGCCACTGCACATGCTTCTTGGCTATTGGCATTTGCATCATCCTGAACTGTGACTAATTCTGAAGTAAAACCTTCATCAACATTTGCATTTAAATCATCTGGACCTGTATTGCCATTTTCATCACCATCCTTTACCTTATCGCCAGCTGTTCGAGTCAGGACAAAATTAGCATTGCCATCCCCTGGCCTCTGTGTTTCTCGCACTCTGATGCCATACTCTTCATTCAGGACCCTCTGGCGAATCTCTGCTGCTGTTAGATTTCCATTGTCTACTTGCAACTCACTAACCAACTCTCTGGTAACTGTTTCATTACCACTAGAATGCAACAAACTCTGAGCTCCGACCAGATCGGTACTAACAATGCCAAACTCTTCCTCCAAGACTTTCTTCTTGATGGCAGAGGCTTCAGTTTGGTTACAAACATTAGAGAAGTCTGAGTGCACAGGGAATCTGTCTCTTGCAGGGAGTTGGGTCTGCTCTTTGCTGTGAATAATAGATCCAATGGAGCTCTTCATGTATGCACGGGACACCCTGCTATCTGCCACATTTCTATCATAGTTAATATTCTTTGTTGAGTCAACCTCCAGTTCTGGCAGATTTTCATCATGGGGAGTGTCCACAATGTCAGATGAGGTGCTCATGAGGGAAGTAGTCATGTCATATGCTGATACTGATTCCTCCGTTGGACTCGGCTCAATGCAGTCACTCCGAAGAGGGTCTGGACTCAGGTGATCAATAGATTTAGTATCAGAAGGGGTATCCAGCTTTTTTACCAAAGGTAACAGTCTCTCAGTCGTGACATCTGAGGTATCATCTTCCTCTTCGTCCTCCTGGCTGGCTTTCTTTGCTTCATCCTCTAGCTGTGGAGACCATTTGAAGTTGACAATGAACTTCTTGCGGGATTCACCCAGGAGACAGCGTTGCAATTTCCACTGTGAAAGGACCTCTCTACGCTCTGCTGCCTGCATCAGCTTTTGATAATACATTTCAATTTCAGCTCTGAAATAGGAAGAAATAAACCAATAAAGTTTAAACCATAACAATTTGTAGATAAAAATAGATCCTGCAAGATCAAATGCATTGATGTCAAGCCATTCTACAATATATTTTACTAGAACTATACATAGTACATATATATATACATACATACATACATATATGTGTGTGTGTGTGTTTGTGTATGTGCATACTTTTGTGTATGTGTGTGTGTGTTGTGTGTGTGTGTGTGTGTGTGTGTGTGTGTGTGTGTGTGTGTGTGTGTGTGTGTGTGTGTGTGTGTGTGTGTATGTGTGTGTGTGTGTGTGTGTGTGTGTGTGTGTGTGTGTGTGTGTGTGTGTGTGTGTGTGTGTGTGTGTGTGTGTGTGGTGTGTGTGTGTGTGACCATTATTATTTTTATTACTAACCTACCATAAATCATATTAATATAATTATTATTATTTTCACAGCCAAATTAATAGCCTATATGGTCTGTCAAATGTCATCTGCATTTATGAAATCAAATATTCATTTCTAACCCCAGCTTCCCGGTGGAACTGTTCCAAAATGAGGATATGAACAGAGTTTAACCAATAAGATTATATAAGTAAATAAAAAATATATAAACAAACAGAAACAACTCAAAATAAATCAACAGGGAAACTTTTCATTTACTTTAGTTTCTCCTCCCGTTGTTTCTTCTCCTTTTCAACCTCCTCGGCCTCCAAGGCAATCTTTTTCTCCAACTCAATTTCCTTTGCCTTCTCTTCCATCTTTCGTTCTTCAGCTTTCTGTGCTTCCTCTTTGAGTTCCTTAAACCTGGCTCTTTTCCTCTCTATTTCTAGTTGGCGGATATTATTCATTCTCTCTGCAAGAAGTTTATTGTGTGAGATAAGAACCAAATGGATATTCATTTCTCTGAAAATGTGCAATAGCTGAAAATTACATCCTACATTACATACACTATTCCCACCAAAAAAATAATAGTATACATAAACTTTCCATAAATGAGTCTTTAATCAACATGCTATAATACATATGTCAAAACCACAGAAAGCTGCTGGCACTTACTCTCAATCTCCTTGATAACGGCAGCGTGCTCTCTTGCAGAGATGGCCAAAAGTCGCTTCTTTTCCTCTCTCAGTTGTTCTTCTCTTTGGCGTGCTGTGACCTGAAACCATCAGGGTTTACTGTTAAGAGATATCAATTTCAGAATTACGTTTAATAATCCCATTTTCTTCTTTTTCCTTCTATCAGCTCCACAATGATAAATTTTTCATACCTGATTCTTAGCTGCTAAATAATCCATGTGTGCAGCATAGTTCTCACACTGGCTCCTCATTGTTTCCATTTCCTTGCTTGAAATACATAATTGGAAGCTTGGATGCTTAACTCCACCTGCTGCTACTAGATGATGCTGTACAAGAAAAGACATGGGTGTAAATTCAGTGAAAACAAAATATAAATAAAATGGAAGTATATACAAACTTAGATCAGTTTTTCATATAATCTTACTTCTGTTTTAAGCAAAACATAAAAGTCTTCATTCTCCATTCCCTAACGTACTTTAGGAGAGCAAAGCTTCAACAAGTTAAGGGCCTTTCCACATGTATAAGCCTCTTGGAGGACCTCACGAAGGAATGGCGGCACGTCCGACAGATCACGCAAGGTGTACCCATGAGTCCAGTAACTCCTGTCCCGTTTGAGGAGCGACCTTCCATCAACATCTATCATGAATTCTAGCCCTGGATCTGAGCACAAGCCCTCGTACACCCATTCTTCTAAATACCTGAAGTGAATTAGAAAACACATAAATGGAGTGTGTGTTGCATCTAGTATATTCTGTTCCTTATACTTCTTTTTAACTTACAGGTACAAATAAGCTTATGGTAAGAATAATGTACAAAGATTTACAGCTTTTGTACTAGACTTTGTTTACTTCTTTGAACTTGTTTTCAGTTGAAAAAAAAGTTGCATATACAGATGAGCATAAAAACATTATGAAGACCTGGAAGAATTACCTGAAGAAGGGTACGCATGTAGCTTTTAAGATCGACACCAAGAGGAGAGAACACTCCCGATCCTTTGTCACCATTAAGCGACTATGCAGTTCCCCAATGAGAGAGAGACCCCTTGGTAGCTTCCCTGTGGAGATCTGAATCTGTGATACTGAGCTTGAGTCATGGCTCTTGAGAGATGTGTTTGCTGAACTTTCAGGTCCAGCACCTTTTCCATTGGTTCTAGTTCGCATGCTTGAATTTTGAATTATTTCTGATACAGGGGAGATGTGGCACAACTCAGCAACAAACTTGACTTTCTTGACTAGATTTTGAGCCTTTTGTTGAAGCTGCAAAAGGTGCTTCCCACCAACTAGTGACAGAACCATGCCCCTGAAATCCATATTAAAGGTTTGTTAGTGAAGTCACGTATGAAACTTTATAAACACTTTTATCCCTGCAATGAATACTCTACACTGGGATGTTTTACAAAAACAATAACAGGTTTCTGTGTATTATTCTATTTTTCACTAAAGAAAGACAAACACAAACATAACACAATCTACATATAAAAGTTGCTTATCCTACATGGGATTAAGGAGTTTTCAAATTTTATCAAAATGGGGAACTTGGGTGCTTACCTATACATCTGGAGGAAGTTTGAAACAGCAGTAGTGAAAGCACGGAACACTAAACCTTGGATGTGGACTTGGCGTGTGTACATGGCTGGAGGGGTGCACACAGCTTCAAGCCTTTTGGAAAACAAATATAATGTTAATTTTTATGACATACCTTTGATATGTGATAATAAAAGATTAAATTCTTTTATCAAAGAACATATGCGTCAATCCAAGAGAGTTTACCTCCGCACGAAGCTACCACATTCAGCAAATTGTACAAGTGATAGTCTGAGAGGTTCTGGTGTTATGCCTGGACAGCACAATCCCTCTCTGATGCCAAAGCTCTTTGTTTCCTGGATGCAGAAAATGAATATCAAATATATAGTAGCTCTTCCCATTAATTTTTTTTTCTGCTATTCTTTCTCTTGTTTATTACTTCAGAATATGCTGAGAACTTCACAAAAGTCTAAATAAAAAATCATGTTCATGTTCATGATCCTCTAATCTAAATTTTGAGCCACAGATACATACAGAAAAATTATATGGCTTCACATATATAAGTAGTCAGCTTGTCATTTACACAAACAGCATACACTGAAAAATGCAAAAAACATGAGCCCCACCTGATGCCATGGGAAATTCAAAGACGGCAAGCCAACCATAAGATGCAACAAATCTTGACACAGCTTCTCCTCAGAGCAAACTTGTAGACTTGGCACATAGTGAGCAGCACCAAAGCTCCCCCATAGCTGCTGGTATACTACCCAAACCCTGTAACCATAAGAGCATGTTTCTTTGATTATTTACTAAATATCTTATGAAATTTTCACTTGGCAGAATTTCATGTAGCTGAGATCCTACAGAAACACTTAAATTAATCTCTATACCTGTGAGATGTCTCAGTCCCAGTTTCCGTCAAAAATAATTTCTCCTTGGTAGTTGCTGGGTGCCCGAGGTTTTCCCAGGTTCTCCGGGAGGTTAAAGGAGGGCCTTCCAACACTGCCTCCCATATGTCACCCTTCTCCTCTTCTGGGCAGTGACGAGAACTTGCTCTTGACGAGGCATACCCCTCATCGCTGCCAACCTGTCATGAGCAGACATTCAACTTTGTGTTATAGAAAATATGTGAATAATTAGTCATATATCAGTAAGTATTTATCAGCTTTAAGGACTTTACATCAAAAAGTACTTACTGCACTACTAGATGGTGAGGGAAGAGATTTGGGTATGTGACCAAAATAGCAATACCCATGGGGGTTGCTTGGTAATTCTGGCAAGGTGAGTACAGCATCCGGAGTAAGTTCACCACTCCTTTCTTGTAGCATTGCACCCATAGCTCTGTAGAGACATAATGAACTAGGTAAGTAGCTATACATATTTTCTCATGGTGAAAACTCTTTAATGCCATTTTTATCATAATCATTTGCCGTCAATATCATTAAAGTTTTCTTAATCCTAAATAGCAGTTACCATCATTATCATCACAAGCAGTAGCTATTACAATTATCATTTACCAGCACCCATCCTATTTACACAGGATAACAGTATCAACAACAAAAATTACTCACTTGCCAAAAGCTTCAAACTGATTTTCCTGCAGCAGGAGAGGGCTCACACCAGTACCTGGGAGAGCATTGCAAAGCCCTAGCATGGAATCAACACTCATGGGAGACACAGGGGTTCTCTCCTTCATCAGCTCGATGGATGCAGGACTAAACAATTCAGCCGGGAAGTGCATGTAGAAACGGCCATGCTCTGCCGAGTGTAAGAAGGTGTCTCCGTAGTGTAGAGGACCCGTCGGTAAGAAAGTGGGGCGTTTCTGAAATGGCCCAAGGTATGGTAAATCATTATGGTGGCATGTAATTAGGAATCTCACATCCAAAGTAATACCAGAATAATTAATAATATTGATAGCAAATGAAAAAAAAAAAAAAAAAAAAAAAAAAAAAATCCCCAAATATACAGGTAATGGGAAAATCATGCGATATCAGTTAGACTCCTTGGTGACTAAGTGCTTTTGGACCCATCTATCTATAAACAGAATAAAAGAGACAAAATTGCAGTGAACAGTACATGTACCCTATGCCAATTAGTTACACTCTAATCTTACAACTGACATGAATCGCTGTGCTTGAGCCTTGCTCTGCTGTCTGGGTCACAGACACATACATATTCCAACACAAATAAACCTGAACAAATATCTGCCAAGGCTGCAAGAGTCACTCCCAGCAATTCATTATACATTCTTAGTATAACAACACATATAACACTACCACAACATACAGTCCATAAAAACCTGCACACAAGCTGTCACAGGGACTCGAAAACAAACATTCTATAGTCCCATACAACAAACAAATATATTGTCCATGATGCAGCCTACCATACATGTCATGGTTATGGTAGTAATTATGTAAATCCTTTCATAATCTTTAGGTATATTTTGTCATATGGTGCCATAATAATAAACTGGTTATGTATCCTATAATTACTTGTTCTCATGTTTATTTCAAATGACATATACTAATATCATCTTTGCAAAAGGGCAACAATAAGCGTAAAATTATTGAGACTATGGGAGGCCATTAAAAATGCCCTATTCAGCAATAAACTCGTACATGTGAGCAAGCAGGGAGCTGGTCGCTCTCACTCACTCAGTAATATCCTTAGTGAAAAAAATCTTTATGGCATTATTTAAGCGGTGGAATATAAGTGTTTCTTCACACCCATTCCACCATGTATGTATTCATTTTAGGTAATATTGACAGATTCTTATAAATGAGAAAAAGTACAAAGAATACATTTCAAGAACATATACATCACCAGATTCTCACAAGATCAAAGTACTATTACTTGAACAAGTAACTGCTCCACATCATTTAGCAAAGTAACTCTCTCATCTTTATAGGAAAGTAAAGGAGTGGTTATAAAGCACACAGGCTGTAAATAATGTATAAAACTGCAAGGAGCCGCATCAACATCAACAAACAGCCCAACAATGCACTTGTTTACACACAAACTACAAAACACCCCCCCTAATGTACAGCATTAGCACATAAATGCTAATTACCTTGGCCTGTCCCTATCTCTCCCTCATACTCATTATAATTACATGGGAGTTAAATGACCCCTGGTTGCCCTGCTCTATACAAATTATGAGAGAGATCCAGATGAGAACTTTTAGGGGAAAAATATATAAGCGAATATTAACACAACACAGTAGTAACATGAGGAATCAACTAGCAAAATTGTCCGCAAGCATGTTGGAGCCAGCCAAGCAAAAAAAAGTCAGAAACAAAAACACCCTCACACCCACAAACAGACAAACAAAACAAACAAACAAACAAAGACACACACAAAAGGAGAACGGGACTCACCGCCACAACATTCACAACTCTTGGGGTAATTTTGGCCTCGGTAGGTCTCTCGTCCACCTCTCCACAGCCGGCCAGGGCAACCAAGAACCTCAGAACATTACGGATGTCACTGTTGGCCTCAAGATGACCTGTGAAATATTACAAATTCTTTCAGTGTTTTCTCTTGGAGCAGTATTTATACCTAGATGAAATCCTGAAAATTAATTACTCTATTTCATCCTTTTTATGGTATTCTAAAATATCAGAGGAACAAGTGAGAGTGAGATAGATAGATAGATAGATAGATAGATAGATAGATAGAGAGAGAGAGAGAAGAGAGAGAGAGAGAGAGAGAGAGAGAGAGAGAGAGAGAGAGAGAGAGAGAGAGAGAGAGAGAGAGAGAGAGAGAGAGAGAGAGAGAGAGAGAGAGAGAGAGAGAGAGAGAAGAGAGAGAGAGAGAGAGAGAGAGAGAGAGAGAGAGAGAGAGAGAGAGAGAGAGAGAGAGAGAGAGAGAGAGAGAGAGAGAGAGAGAGAGAGAGAGAGAGAGAGAGAGAGAGAGGAGAGAAGAGAGAGAGAGAGAGAAAGAGAGAGAGAGAGAGAGAGAGAGAGAGAGAGAGAGAGAGAGAGAGAGAGAGAGAGAGAGAGAGAGAGAGAGAGAGGAGAGAGAGAGAGAGAGAGAGAGAGAGAGAGAGAGAAGAGAGAGAAATAGAGAGAGGAAAGAGAGAGAGAGAGAGAGAGAGAGAAGAGAGAAAGAAGAGAGAGAGAGAGAGAGAGAGAGAGAGAGAGAGAGAGAGAGAGAGAGAGAGAGAGAGAGAGAGAGAGAGAGAGTAGAGAGAGAGAGAGAGAGAGAGAGAGAGAGAGAGAGAGAGAGAGAGAGAGAGAGAGAAGAGAGAGAGAGAGA